TCAGGGTGATGTTCCTGATGGGCAGTGGCCATCCCAACCTTCCAGAATTAATTAAAAATCATTAATTAATTAAAATAACAATGAGGAAACACCTCGGGGGGATGGCCCCTCCTCGCTTCCCACACAATTGGGATGGTCCTGGAAAAGCCAAAATTCCCTGGAAATGCCCAAAACTAGGCTGGGGAGAGAGCAGTGTAAGGTGAACCTGGGATGGGAACGAGAAGATCCTAAAAGCTCCTTCCACCCTAAAGTGGGGGGATCAGGGGGATGTTCCTGATGGGCAGTGGCCATCCCAACTTTCCAGACACCCATGGTCATTAATTAATTAATTAAAATAACGATGAGGAAACACCTCGGGGAACACACAATTGGGATGGTCCTGGAAAAGCAGGAATTTTTTCGGAAGTGTCCAAAACCAGGCTGGGGAGAGCAGTGTAAGGTGAACCTGGGATGGGGTGGACGAGGAGATCCTAAAAGCTCCTTCCACCCCAAACTGGGGGGATCAGGGGGATGTTCCTGATGGGCAGTGGCCATCCCAACCTTCCAGAATTAATTAAAAATCATTAATTAATTAAAATAACAATGAGGAAACACCTCGGGGAATGGCCCCTCCTCGCTTCCCACACAATTGGGATGGTCCTGGAAAAGCAGGAATTCCTTGGAAGTGTTCAAAACCAGGCTGGGGGAGAGCAGTGCAAGGTGAACCTGGGATGGGGTGGGATGAGGAGATCCTAAAAGCTCCTTCCACCCCAAACCAGGGGGATCAGGGGGATGTTCCTGATGGGCAGTGGCCATCCCAACCTTCCAGAATTAATTAACAATCATTAATTAATTAAAATAATGATGAGGAAACACCTCAGGGAATGGCCCCTCCTCGCTTCCCACACAATTGGGATGGTCCTGGAAAAGCCAAAATTCCTAGGAAGTGTCCAAAACCAGGCTGGGGGAGAGCAGTGCAAGGTGAACCTGGGACAACAATTCCACAAAATTCCCGTTCCCGGGGGGATCAGGGTGATGTTCCTGATGGGCAGTGGCCATCCCAACCTTCCAGAATTAATTAAAAATCATTAATTAATTAAAATAACAATGAGGAAACACCTCAGGGGGACGGCCCCTCCTCGCTTCCCACACAATTGGGATGGTCCTGGAAAAGCCAAAATTCCCTGGAAATGTCCAAAACCAGGCTGGGGAGAGCAGTGTAAGGTGAACTGGGATGGGGTGGGATGAGGAGATCCTAAAAGCTCCTTCCACCCCAAACCGTGGGGATCAGGGTGATGTTCCAGCAGACCCTGATGGGCATTGGCCATCCCAACCTTCCAGAATTAATTAACAGTCGTTAATTAATTAAAATAACAATGAGGAAACACCTCAGGGAATGGCCCCTCCTCACTTCCCACACAATTGGGATCATCCTGGAAAAGCAGGATTTTTTTTGGAAGTGTCCAAAACCAGGCTGGGGAGAGCAGTGCAAGGTAAACCTGGGATGGGAACGAGAAGATCCTAAAAGCTCCTTCCACCCCAAACTGGGGGGATCAGGGGGATGTTCCTGATGGGCAGTGGCCATCCCAACCTTTTCAGACACCCACGGTTGTTAATTAATTAATTAAAATAATGAAGAAGAAACACCTCGGGGGAACGGCCCCTCCTTGCTTCCCACACAATTGGGATCATCCTGGAAAAGCAGGAATTTTTTTGGAAGTGTCCAAAACCAGGCTGGGGAGAGCAGTGCAAGGTGAAATGGGATGGGGTGGGACGAGGAGATCCTAAAAGCTCCTTCCACCCCAAACCAGGGGGATCAGGGTGATGTTCCAGCAGGCCCTGATGGGCATTGGCCATCCCAACCTTCCAGAATTAATTAACAATCGTTAATTAAGATAATGATGAGGAAACATCTCGGGGGAATGGCCCCTCCTCGCTTCCCACACAATTGGGATTGTCCTGGAAAAGCAGGAATTCCCTGGAAATGTCCAAAACCAGGCTGGGGACAGCAGTAAAGGTGAACTGGGATGGGGTGGGATGAGGAGAACCTAAAAGCTCCTTCCACCCCAAACCAGGGGGATCAGGGTGATGTTCCAGCAGGCCCTGATGGGCAGTGGCCATCCCAACCTTCCAGACACTCATGGTCTTTAATTAATTAAAATAATGATGAGGAAACACCTCAGGGAATGGCCTCTCCTCGCTTCCCACACAATTGGGATCGTCCTGGAAAAGCAGGAATTCCTTGGAAGTGTCCAAAACCAGGCTGGGGAGAGCAGTGTAAGGTGAACCTGGGATGGGGTGGGATGAGGAGATCCTAAAAGCTCCTTCCACCCCAAAAAACGCCGGGATTTTCCCTACAGGAGCAGCCAAAGTCAGCCCCGATCCCACTGTCCAGGGCCAAAAAACACCGGGATTTTCCCTGCAGGACCCCGATCCCAAATCCAGAGGGTCGGGATGATCCCAATGTGTGGAATTTGCCTCACCTGAGGTGCAGATCCTCRGAGAATTTGAGGCAGGCGTAGATGAACTCCTTGATCTGCCCGTAAACCTTGGGCACGAACTCCGAGAAGGGGAATTTCTTCGGGAAGGGCTGCTGCAAATACAAAAAAAAACAAAAAACGGGAGGGAATTG